ACTGCACCCCAGTGGGGATGAAATGACGTTAACAGTCACAGTTTTAGATTGATGTGTGGTATATGGCGAGGGCTACGTAAGCATGAGTTAATTCTTAAACACACATATTTTTAAATATCTACATTTGGTTTTGGTTTGGTTTGCAGTAGGGCTATTAAAATCCTCCTAACATGCTTGATACAGTTTTCCTGCTCTGGAAGGTACAGCACAGAAACTCCACTTCACACTACAAGAGGAATGTGGCAAATACGTCTGGTTAATTGACACTCCGCATGGCCCTGACTGTGTAAACAACATCTTTGCGAGGTTTTCAGAGCCCTTTCTATTTACTCAGTTGCTTGAACGTAGGAGGTAGAGCGATGAAGCCGTACAGCTGGGTTTTTAGAAAACACATCAGACCTTAAAGATTCAATGTGGTCACCTCAGCAGGCTGGGATCACCCCCATCGCTCATGATGCTGGAGGTACACCTTGCGTGGTGGGGGGGATGCGCTGGGCCGGAAAAACCCGGCTGACTGTTTAGGCAGCCTCAGCAGCCTCCGTCCATCTCTGTCTGGGTCTCTCTCCTCTCTTCCAGAGCTTGTTTGGAGGTGAGAAGGACTTTAATCATCTAATATAATGTAGGGGGGGGGCAACCAAGGTCAAACAAGACGTCCTGAAAGTCACCCCGTGACTAGAAACCAGCCCTTCCACCATGTAAACGCACCACAGACAATGCCAGCCTTATATACTGGTTTGGCTTCTAAATGACTTTGGCTTTTCCTAAAAAATTAATCCATTCTTAAAAGATGAATAGGCTTGGCGTGGTTGCTCACGCCTGTAATCCCAGCACTGTGAGAGTTGAGGTAGGCGGATCACCTGAGGTCAGGGGTTCAAGACCAGCCTGGCCAACATGGCAAAACCCTGTCTCTACTAAAAAAAATTACAAACATTAGCCAGGTGTGGTGGTGGGTGCCTGTCATCCCAGCCACTCAGGTGGCTGAGGCAGGAGAATCGCCTGAATCCAGGAGGCAGAGGTGGCAGTGAGCTAAGATCATGACACTGCACTTCAACCTAAAAAAAAAAAAAGACTATCTACCCCCACTGACCCACTGAGACTCTTAAGAAATGAGCAACAAACAGGCAGTGAATCTGTTCACTTGTATTAACACGTAGTATGGGCCAGGAGCATGGGTCACGCGTGTAATCTCAGACTTTGGGAGGCTGAGGCAGGTGGATCCCTTGAGGCCAAACAATTGTGATTAGCCTGGGCAACATAGTGAGATGCCATCTCTACCAAAAGTAATAAAGTGAATAGGGCATGGTGGTACACACCAGGAGTTCCAGCCACTTGGGAAGCTAGGGTGGGACGATGGCCTGAACCCAAAAGCTTGAGGTTGCAGTAAGCTATGATCACACCGCTGCACTCCAGCCTGGGTGACAAAGTGAGACTCTGTCTCAAAAAATAATAATAAAATATATATTTAAATAAATATATACATTTTTAAAAATATGGAGTATGTCACCAGTCCCAGCATACTTGGGAGGGGCAGCCCAATTTAAACTCATTTCACAGATTAGAAAATGCTGGTAAAGAATTTCTCCAGCTGGCAGGGAACACTGGGCTTTAACCTTCTGTAAGTAAAGGAAAGTCTACATCTTAGGCATTTGACGGCCTGTGGCTGGGAACTAGAGACTAGGTGCATGTGTGTGCATGCCCACACACACGTCCCTTTGCCATGAAGTGAAGCCATAGGGGAATGCACACGTACACAATTCCCTCTGGCAATGAAGTGACGCGATGGTTGCATGCACACGTGCACACATACACACAAAGTCCCTCTGGCATGACGTGAAGCCACAGCAGGTGTGCTACCAGACCCTTGGAGGCAGGAACCAGCAGGCAACAGACACTCGGAGGTTAAACCAGAGATCCGGAGGGCTCCAGTGAGCAAATGCGTCATGGGCGAGAGTCCAGGACGGCCAGAGGTGTCCATCCTGGCAGGCTAGGGACCAATATCAGGAAGGTCTCGGGGAGACAACAGGGCACCTCCAGGGCCTGGGCATCCCTGCGAGGGCAGGACCAGAAGAGCAGTGCTGAGCCTGGTTCTGGGAAACCTGTGTGCCGAGCAGATTGCACAGACAGGGTCTGAGGTGCCAGGACCTGGGGCGACAACCCTGTGTTTGGTCTTGATGCCAGGCAGGCGCCCTGCTGTGAGGACCGCCGTGGGTCAGCATGGGCCTACAGCACTGTTCCTTCAATCCTGAGCTTCTGAATGGGCCTCCTGTATGGCTTCACACTTGATATCAGAGCCTAGAAAACAGAGTGAACCAGACTTGCAGACAGAGCCATGCCCCAGATCAGGAATCCTCAGGGGGCTGGTGGCAACAAAAGCTAATTTTATACGCTTTGCTGATTCCGGGTTAAAGGCATAGGGCCCTGTATTGTATGTGGTTGCAGTCTCCCACAGTAACTCCAAGATAATCTAAAAGTCTATCTCTCGTGGCCAGGCACAGTGGCTCATGCCTGTAGTCTCAGCACTTTGGGAGGCTGAGGTGGGCAGATTCCTTGAGGTCAGGAGTTGCAGACCAGCCCGGCCAACATAGTGAAAACTCATCTCTACTAAAAATACAAAAAAAAACTTAGCCGAGTATGGTGGCACATGGCTGTAATCCCAGCTACTTAGGTGGCTGAGGCACAAAAATCAGTTGAACCTAAAAGGTGGAGGCTGCCTGCCGTGAGCCGAGATTGCACCGCTGCACTCCCGCCTAGGTGACAGTGAGACTGTGTCAAAAAAAAAAAAAAAAAAAAAAAAATCTATCTCTACTGGTCCCTACCAATCTTGCCCTGATTCACTTCCTGTTTTTGGTCCCTCAGCCCCAATCTCAATGTCTAGATGCAAATGTTTTAATGTTACTAGGATTCATTTACACCATTAAATTAACTAACATTAAGGTAGCAACATTTTACTCTTTCAGTTCTATCTGCATATTTTGAGAGAATCACAAAGAACAGGAATCATCTCAACCAAAGGAATGAATACGTAATGGTAAAATTTCAGCCACGTGATACTTCAATGGGGAAACATTTTAGGACAGAGTAAAGCTGGCCAGTAACCATTCCTCCTTCATAATGGCACCTCAATTTCCTTTTGGGAAATTTTCTCTCCCTCATGATGCAGCCCAAGGGCTTACCTCCTATTAGGGATATTAAACATGACATAGATATCCTCCCTGCCCCACCCAAGTATGGCAGAGGAAAGGCACAGGCCCAGCTCAGCCAGTTGGGCAACGGTTGGTGGCCATTCATCACAGAGGCGGCAGAATGCTGACCCAGCAGATCCTGCCATCCAGCCCCTCAGGTCCCCTCCAGTCCCTGCCCTCACCTCCCCTGGTGCCCCTACCTCACACAGATTCTATGAGCCACTATCTCCCATAGCCTTCCAGTAAAGTACTTTTTAAGTTAAATGGTCTTTGCTGTTTGCAAAGAACATGGATTCCCAGTGTGCCATGACCGCATCTACCTGCAGTAAGGCCAGTGATGGTTGGACAGAGATGGCTGGCTCACTGCACCCGCTCCACGCAGAGGCTGGAAGGTGATACACCACAGCGATAAATGCCGTGAACAGACGCTGCTCACACATGTACAACCAGAAACAAGCCATCCAGGTGACCTGGAATTGGGAGGCAGGAAAACTGCATCCTGTGGTCTAGTGGAAATGGGCTGGGCTCGCGCACAACCCCAAAGGCCAGGCTGACAGTAGAAACATCCTCTTGCCTGCCAGTCCTCCAGTCTCCCTCCTGCCACAGGCATATACTCAGATGTGCCCAGGAACAAGTGCAGGCCTGCACACGCACGCACACACATGCAGGCTCACAGACCCGCACACGCACGCACGCACATGCAGGCTCACAGACCCGCACACGCACGCACGCACATGCAGGCTCACAGACCCGC